TTTTATTTTTGGTCAAGTTTATGTGGTGTTCAGTTTGCTTCTTGTATTTTCATAGGTATGTCCTTCATGTTGGGAAAGTTTTCTTCAGTGATTTTGTTGAATATGTTTTCTGCATTTTGAGCTGTTCTTTTTTGACGTCTTCTATACCTATTAATTTTAGTTTTGGTCTTTTCACGGTGTCCCACATCCTGGATATTTTGTGTTAGGTATTTGTTGTATTTAAGATTTTCTTTGGTCAATGAATCTATTTCCTGTAGTTTATCTTCAGTGCCTGAGATTCACTCTTTGATCTCTTGTATTCTGTTGGTTATCCTTGCATCTCTAGTTCCTGATCTTTTACCCAGCTTTTCTATTTCCAGCATTCCCTCAGTTTGTGTTTTCTTTATAGTCTCTAGTTCATTTTTTAGGTCTTGTACTGTTTGAATTTTCCCCCTTCATCTGTTTAATTGGTTTTTCTTGGCTTTCCTTAATTTAAGAGAGTATGTAAGGAGTACGGTTTTTCCACCTGCCGCTGCTGGTCTTGTCCCGCCGCTGCGCCAGCCCCAAATAATACACAGAGACTCTGTATTTGATATTATGCTGTTGGCCAGTTACTTGTTTCTTATAGGCTAGCTCTGTCTTAAGTATTAACCCATTTCTGCTGATCTATGTATTTTCACGTGGCTTTCTCTTACCGGGGAGGCGCCTGGTGTTCAGCTCTCTCCAGACTCTCCATCTTGACTCCTCCTTACCACTTCCTCTTTCCTCCTTGTCTCCTAGTCCCTCCTATCTTCCTTTCCTATTGGCCAACAGTGCTTTATTCATTAACGAGTATGAGAAACATATATACAGAATGACATCTCCCATCAAGAGTAGTTGATTCCTTGAATTTTTTGGTTCACCTTTTCCTCTATTTCTTCCAATGTTTTTTTTTTTTTCCTACCATTTTTTTGAAAGGGATTTTCTCTTATTATCTTTGAGGGCCTCTATCATTTACATGAAGTTGTTTTTATGGCCCTTCTCTTCTATTTCTTCTGCTTTGGTGTATTCATGTCTTGTTGGTGTAGAGTCCCTAGATTCTGGTGGTGTCATATTGGTCTTTCTATTGCTGAAAGTGTTCTTGTACTGACATCTTCCCATCCTTTCTTCCAGTGGGTGCAGATGGGGGTCTCTCTCTCTACTCTACTCTCCTGGTGGGAGTAGGTGGGACAGGACTTCCATGTCAGTAACTCTGGGTGGTCTAAGCCCTTTTGGAGGTCTCAAGCAGAGGGTGTAGGGGGCCCAAGGGTCAGATGAGGGAACGCTCCAGATGGTCCCTCGTGGAGGGGCAGGTCCACTATGTACAGAGCCTACCTTGAAAGTTCCAAGGAGAGAGGAGAGTGGGGATGTTGGACCTGGGCTGGCTAGCACTCACCTCAAGAAGAGATGATGTTTTCTATTTCCATCCATTTGCCTGAAAATTTTATGATGTCATTCCCACCCCTGAAGTGTACTCAATTATGTAGATATTCCACATTTTCTTTATCCATTCTTTGGTTGATGGGCATTTAGGTTGTTTTCTGGTTCTGGCTATTATGAATAATGCTGCTATAAACATAGTGGAACAAGTGTCCTTGGGATATGATTGAGCATCTTTTGGGTATATCCCCAAGAGTGGCATCATTACCAACTTTCTGAGAAACCCCCATGTTGATTTATAGAGTGGCTGTTCAAATTTTCACTCCTACCGGCAGTTAAAAATAAAATGTTCACCTTACTCCACATCCTTTCCAGCATAGACTGTCATCAGCATTTTTTATCTTGGCCATTCTGACAGGTGTAAGATGGTATCTCAGAGTCATTTTGATTTGCATTTCCCTGATAGCTAAGGATGTTGAATAATTCTTTAAGTGTATCTCGGCCCTTTGAGATTCTTCTGTTGAGAATTCTGTTTAGATCTGTACCCCATTTTTATTGGATTATTTGGTATTTTAATGTGTAGCTTCTTGGATTCTTTATATATTTTTGATATCAGGTATCTGAGTGTGGGTTGGTGAAGATCTTTTCCCATTCTGTAGGCTGCTGGCGTGTTTTAATGACAGTGGTTTGCATTTATTTTTATGGTCATGAGGAAAGCACATGTTGTGAGTTTATGGTCAGCCATAATGGAAACAATTTATGATGTGCAATTAACAAGATTATAGAGGAAGAATGAGTTTTATTTTTTTCATTTCCAAGTACATGTAAAAGTTATATTTATACTATAATACAGTATCAAGTGTGCAAAAGTATTATACTTAAAAAAGTAAGACAATTAAATATTTTATTACTGAAAATACATGAACTTAGCATTCGCTGTTAGGAAAAAATAACAAATATCACTTTATGTAAATTTCCACAGATCTTTATTTTCTTAAAAATTTTTAATTTGTATTTTACATATAGATCCAGTTCCCTCTTTCTCTCTCCAACCCTCCCTCCCTCCCTTCCTCCCTCCCTCTTTCCCTCTTTCCCACCCTCTTGTTCCCCCACCCAACATCCTCAACTCCCATTCCTCTCACCACTCCACAAGTAGGGTGATGCCTTCCAGGAGGGGTCATCTAAATCTGTCAAGTCATTTGGAGTAGGGACTAGGCCCTCCCTCCTGCCTCTAGGTTAAAGGAGTATCCCTCCATGGGGAACATGCTCCCAAAGTCCTTTTGTGCACCAGGGATACATTCTGGTTCACGTTCAGGGATTCTGAGTCCATCCCATGCTGGATTCCCAGCTATCAATCTGGGGGCCCATTAGCTCCTTCTTGATCAGGTCAGCTGTCCATATGTGTTTCTGTAGCCTGGACTTGTCCTCCCTCTCTGCATCTGGATTCCAGTTCGGCTCCGTGTTAGCTGTGGGTTTCTGCTTCTGTTTCCATCAGATACTAGATGAGGGCTCTATGATGGTGGCTAAGTCAGTCATCAATCTCATTATCAGAGAAGGGCATTTATGATAGCTTTTCCATTGATGCTTAAATTGTTAGTTGGAGTCAGTCTTGTAGGTCTCTGGACATTTCTCTAGATTCAGTTTTCTCCTCAAAACTATAATGGCTCCCTCTTTTTTGCTCTCTTTCTGTCTCTCTCTCACCTATTCCTCTCCTGACTCAATCTTCCAAGTCCCACATGCTTTCCTCTCCTCCACTTCTCTTTCTCCTAGCTCACTCTCCACTCATTGCCCTCCCCCCCCCCAATGTGCTCAGGAGATCTTGTCCCTTTCCCCTTCTGTGAAGGACCTTATATGAATCTCTTAGAATCCTCCTTGTATCCTAGTTTCTCAGGGGGTGTGAATTATAGGCTGGTGATCCTTTGCTCTAGGTCTAAAATCCATATATGAGTGAGTACATACCATGTTCCTCTTTCTGTGACTGGGTTATCTCATTCAGGATGGTTGCTTCAAGTTCCATTCATTTGCCTATGAATTTCAAGATTCCATTTTTATTCCCAGCAGAGTAGTATTCCATTGTGTAGATGTGCCATCTTCTTTATCCATTCTTCAGTTGAGGGGCATCTAGGTTGCATCCAGGTTCTTACTATTACAAATAATGCTGTTACAAACATAGCTGAACACATGTCTTTGTTGCATGGATGTGGATCATTTAGGTATATGGGGATTGCCGGTCTTGTGGTAGAGTGATTCCCATTTTCTTTTCTTTTTTTTATATATTTATTTTATATAACCAAGTCAATTTAAATGAAAACAAACATTTATGGACAATATTTGGGAATTTGGGCATCGTTCTTTCCAAAATAATTCCCATTTTCATGAGGAACTGCTATAATGATCTCCAAATGGCTATATAAGTTTGCACTCCCACCAGCAGTGGAGGAGTGTTCCCCTTTCTCCACATCCTCTCCAGCATAAATTGTCATTGGTGTTTTTGATTTTAGTCATTCTGATAGGAGTAAGAATTAAGATGGTATCTCAGAGTTGTTTTGATTTGCATTTCTCTGATGGCTAAGGATGTTGAGCACTTTCTTAAGAGTCTTCCAGCCATTTTAGATTCCTTTATTGAGAATTCTCTATTTAGTTCTGTACCCCAGGTGGATTTGTCTACTCAGGGTGGGTTTACAGCATGGGAGAGTGACCGACTCTATTAAGCATAGGGAGGTCACTGTGTAGCTTTAGGGGAAAGTTGTTTCTATGGAAACCATTTAGAAACATTAGTGATAGAAAAGCCCCACCTTATAAACAGGGAGGAGGCCTTTAAAGGAGGAAAAACAAAAATTTCCCATTGTTATTCTCAGGGTTTTCCTGGCTAGTGAATGTGCTATCAGCCAGTACAGGGCTCATAGTTCTCCTGTACCTGCTGACTATGGGTGGTGCCTGCATCATCAATGCCAGTTGTACAAATTCCCACTTAGCATCTATTAAGTGGATGGTCATTAACTCCTAATATGAAGAGATACACAGCACAGAGGCAAGGATTTGACTCAGGGTATAACTCAAAGGGGAATGTGATGACTAATGTTATGTTCAAAAGTTTAAAATTTCTGAGAGTAAGAGAACTTCAAAACAAAATTAGACTTCCAAATGCTAAGGACTGTTAAGGTTTATAATTACCTGGTCTTGTACAATTTTAACAAAACTCTTTATTATGCAAGGTTTCTGTTTCTGTAAACAAAAACTTGCTTTTCAGGAGAGAGGAGGGAGAAGACAGTAAAGGAAGGGAGAGAAAGAGATGAGAGGAGAGAAGGAGAGGGAGAAAGATGAGAGTGTTCTAAAACAAAGATCAGAAGAGGAGAGTTTGGGGGTGGGGTTGATAGAGTAGGAAGTGGGGGCAGATTTGGGGGACCACAGGCTAGAGCCTGACCTGAGGAGGAAGCATCCGCAGTCCCTGGCATATGAGGTGTGGGTGGCATACCCCCTGTGTCCATGGTACATCTGGCTGAGGACACCTGTTTCCTGCAGACACACCTGGGCTAATCAGAAGTCTGCCAGAGTTCTTCCCCACCCACAGGTAGTCAGGACTGGGTTTTCTCCCTGCTGGGGGTTGGTCCTGCTGGGGGTTGGTGCATGAAGTCTCAGCTGTGCCCAACTACTTGCTGCTCAGAAACTGAACCATCCAGGGTCCTGTCATGGACCTCAGAGGTGAGTTGAGGGATGAGGAAGGAGGTTGTGGGTACCCTCAATTGATTGCTCACCATCTGGTTGGAGATTCACTGCTTCTGGGACATGGGGCTCAGAGGTGGCAGGGCCAGGTCTGCAGTCTGGCAGGAACCCTGTGGATCCCCGGATCTGTATGGGAGTGCATGTGTACTGGTGAGGGGAAGGTAAGGCGGACCCAGGTCTAGGTCATATTAGAAAGTTCTGATCTGAGTGGGCAAGGCTGCTGTGGAAGGACACCGAGCACAAGTGACCTGTCTGTCTCTTTATGGGGCATCCTCTTCTGTACCTGCCCAGACAATCCAGCACAGAGGTGGTAGCCAGGGCCCATGAAGCTGGCCTTCCAGGATTAGAGGAGTCCATATTTCCTGTGGAAAAGCAGAAGGTGGAAGCCAAGGGGAGGCCAGTAATCCTTCATGGCTAGAGAAGGGCTGGAGAAGAGGTATGATGGAATGAAGGCTGGGGCTGGCTCCGCAACCCTCACCTGGTCAAATTAGAGTTATTTTTATAGAAAAGATTATTTGTGTTTCACAAAGAAAAACAGGAACAAAGCAAACTTAATCTAGGAAGGGAATATCTTTTTGCAAAAAGGGTGTGCTATGTGTGATGGACACAAAGCACTTAGTTTTTATTCTCTTGCAAGTGGTGACTGTGTCTCACCCCATTGGTGGGAGCAGGATCTTACAATCTGGTGCTATTGTCTCATTATTAATCAGAACAAAGGGCAAGGGTATGATAGAATCAACAGGCATGTATACCAGAGTTTTACTAGTTGGGGAAGGTTATTGAGTTTAGTCCTTGATGGGCTATACCTTAAATAGGAAAACTTATTTTCAGTACTTCATTCTGTCCCTGTGGTAAAATATATATAGCAAAATTACCATCTTAACTGATTTCCCCATAACAAAGAAGACAGTTTTCCAATGATTTCTATGTGAATTGTATATGTGTGTGTGTGTGTGTGTGTGTGTGTGTGTGTGTGTGTGTGTGTGTATGTGGTGATTACAGGACAACACTGTGGAGATGCTTCTCTTCTACTGTTACACCTAGTTTGCAAGACCCCAGAAGACCACCAAGAACTGGCTCACCAATGCCAAAACACTAGGTTTACTGTCAAGTTACAAGCCCCAGCAGGGACCCTGTAGAGCAAAATGACAAAGCAGCTGCAGGAGGAGGGTCCCTTGCCTCTATCATAAGGGTTCTTAAAGGGAAAAACCACAAGGCTGAAAGTCACAAGATTACAAAGTTTCCATGGTTACTTAAGGTTATTACACAAAGTACAAAGTAAAGCAATTACATACATTTGAGCAGAATAAAGCAGGGACATGGTGTCACAAGTTTGTCAATTATCCTGTGGGCCAGAGGATTATACAACCAGCAGTTACAGGTTATCTGCTTTTCTTCAGAATAAAGGAATGTTGATACAGCTTGTGGTGAACTACTTTTTTCTAAGAACTGGACTCAGGCCTACAGTCATGTCCTCCTGATCAAATTCTTCTGCCCAGTTCCCTTTCCTTTTGTGTTAGCTCAGGGGTCCAAGATGTTTTACACTTTTATTAATTTTTGGACTCTCATCTCACTATCTCATAGGTTCCAGAGCTCACACTCAGGTTGTCAAGCTTATGCTGAAAGGCTCTTCGTACTGAGCATCTTCCGGGACCATCTTAGCAATTTTAACGGAAACTCCAGTGTCTTTAAACACATTCACAGTAAGGACAGGGAGGAAGCTCAGTGCTGCCTGCACCCCTTCCCCAGCAAAAGACACCGAGGCCTGACAAGCACCCTGTGCAGTGTGGGAGCTGCAGATCTGCCATATTTTTGTGGCAGGGCCCGGGATACTTCTATTTCTGGGATGCAAGTTGGGATATGGGTGAAGCTGGGTGAAAAAACAAGTTGTGGTTGAACCTGTAGCTCAGGGGCCAGGCTCTCTCAGGGGTGGGGGTGTGGTTTAGGGGGCTGGGAGGTGGGGGAGTGGGCAGTGTGGGGAAAGGGTGCTCCTGGAGAGAGGCAGGGGAGTTAAGATGATGCAATGCAGTGACCAGGGCAGCAAAACCAGGTGTGTGTGGAGTGCTGGAGCCTCAAGGGAGCCAGGGTTTCCTTCATCGGGCCAGCCATGTCTAGAGGGTAAGTCAGGGCTGCCCAGGTGCAAGGGAAGCTGGTTCGAGGTGGGAGTGGGGTGAGCAGGTGGGAGAAAGCCTGGGGCTCCTGACCTGGACCTATTCCTCAAGATTTTGTACAAAGGTCAGGCCAGGCATGGGTTGGGGTGGATTAGGTGGGTGGTGGAGGAAATGTCTCCATTTGTTGTCACAGAGTATAGTTGACTTCCTGCAGTAATTTACATCCTATTCAGCTCTGGCATTTCTCATTGTTCTGGGTCCCCACCCACCACTTCCTGGTGCTTTAATATGCCAAGTGCCTGCTCTTTTACCTGTTTTATGTATCTTGGTGCAGGCAAAGCCAAAATAAGCACAGTGAAGCTGTGAAAGGGAAAATCTTAACTGCCCACAGCAGCAGTGGAAGGATGGGAGCTGTTCACAAGGCAGTGATCTCCCTGAATAAGCTTTCAGTAAGGGCGCCTGTACACAGTCATGCGTGGGCTGGCCAGTTCCTGAGAGTAAGTACACATGCTGACACAGACCATTGTTTGCTTGGCGCTATGTTTAAATGGGCAGCATTTGAGTTGTATTTTAATGATAATCTCCACATTGTTATCTCCCCCAACCTCAAGAGATGGTCCTGCAATAGGTCCAAATCCCATCCTAAGAGTGGATGATGGGGAAATACACTCATAGCCCACTTCATAGTGTCCCAGTGAGTGAATCACTGTGTGATAACAGTGATTACATTGCATCGTGAGTTCCATTTCCCAATTCTCTGTGTGGTCCTCATTCTATCACCACACTGATAGCTACGTTTATATAACAAGAATGTTTGCTAACACACCCAGACTGTCTTAAAAGCTTACCTGTGGGGTCCTATTGCCAACTCTTGTTTCAGTTACTGATAGATGTAACATGGACCAGGAGACTCAACAAAGCCATGTTTTATTGGGGGAGTGGGGAGGGGACCAAGGGAAAGGGAAGAAGGAAAGGGGAGATGGGGAGAGGGGGAAGAAGTAGAGAAGGGGCGAATGGGTGAAGAGGTGGAGGTCCTCCCTTAAAAAAGGGGAAGCCTGCACATGGGTCCTAATCCTCAAGCAGCCCCATAATGTGTGATGTAGCCATGAAATGGCTACATAACACAGGGTCCTTTGAGCTGCTTCCTGCCCATTGTCAGGAGCGGAGTCAGCATAATGCTGTGGTTTCAACACTATCCTTCAGCAATAGAAGGTCTATTTTGAGTTTAAATGATATTGGTAAGAATCCCATATTCAGATTTCCAAGCTGTTACATATTTTAGGGTGACCTTTGGATCTTTCTTGGGTACTCAGACGAGCTAAGTCTGGTATCCTGGGTGATAACAAAATAACTTAATAGCAGCAACACACACTGGGTGGAGGGGAATTGAACCAATGTAGTTGTAAGGAAACCATGGAGACTGTGGGAAGTTAGGGTTGGGGTAGATATGCAGTAGTATTTAAAAACACATTTGAGAAGCATCAAAACAAGTGACAGGATGAATGATAGTGTGCTTGGGAATATGTGCCCAGTGAGTCTGCCCATAAGTAGAACTCACTGATCTGATAATGAAGATACTCACAATGAACAGATTTGCAGGGGAAAAGGCTGGCCCAGATCTCCTAATTCTTGAACCTTTTTATCAGATGTCTCTTTTCCTTGCTCCCAGGCCAGGGGCAGAGTACTCAGCCAATGACATTTTAAAGTCTCTGTGGGAGGCTCTTCTGGACCAGAGTTGAACATTTTTTTTCCTTAATTATGAAGACTATTAAATTCATGACTTACTAGGCATACTCTACACCCCAAGTAAGAAAGTCTTGAGGGGCTTTCCTGTGTGCCATCCTTTGGGTCTTCCTGGAAAACCTGTAGGCATGCATTGGAATGAGAGAATTCTGCACAGTGCCTTTAGAGAAGAATATGCATCATCACCTATAGAAAGAATTAGGGTTTATTTATCACTAGGGCTAATAAATCAAGGGGTTTGAGTGTTTACTCTCCCTCTTTTTTTATGAAGTAGTAGTTTTAGTAATTTTTTTTTTTAGCCAGCTCAGCAATAGCTTGTCCTGCAGGATTGCAAGGAATGCCAGTTTTATGCAGAATTCCCCAAAAGGAAAAAAAATTTGGAAAGCTTGTGAGGAATATATAGGATAGCTACTTGTTTTGATCATGTGATAAAATCCTAGAACATCAAGTGTAGCAAGACACAGTGACCCAGCATTTGTAGAACTGTAGCCCAGGTAAATAAAAAGTGTGAGGGCACCAGGCAGAGGGTAGGAGGAAGGAACCATAGGGACAACAAAAGAGGTGTGCTGTGGGAATTGTAGAATGTTGTCATTGGGGTAATGATAACCGTTTTGTAAAAGAGGATAATTGTGTTTGTTATGGAAGACCAAAAGCATATAAAGGAGTAAATTGGGACAATAGAATCTGGTTTCCATAATGACTTTACCATAAAGAATAGAATATAAGGGACCATAGAATCTGGTTTTCCTAATGAATTGATCATTTACAACTTTTTCTTTGAGATATGAAATTAGGTTAATATAAGTGGGTAACAGACCTTTGTGGTTGTGATGTCAATTTTGTTCCTTTATGATGCTAAGGGCAGGAGTCAGTTGTGCCAGAATGACTGTAGGTAGTGAATGCAAATGAGGAAATGAGTGTTCCTAGGTATTGTTGAGGAGGAATTTCTCATTAGAGATACGAAGATTGAAGAAGAGTTCAGCCAGAGGTATCTGGAAGAGTCCAGATTGAACATGGTCTGTAGAACAGTTCATGATATTGCAAGGATGGAAAATTACAGCCTAACTCTCCAATGACTCCAGGAAGTTAGAAGTTTAAAAATGCTATCTAAAAAGCCCCAAATAC